TCCCTCTGAATGGCATCCCGTCCTTCAACCGTGTCAACCACACCACTCAGCTTGGTGTCGTCAGCAAACTCCAATGCACAGCATTATATTCCTGTATCTTGGATGGGGCCCTGGGCAAACTGATCTGGTAGCTGTAGCGGCCTGTGACAGGAGGTCAGAAGGGGATGGTCTTTAAGATCCCTTCCAACCCAAACCATTCCATGATTCTATCATCTCCATAACCCAAGCTTAGTCTTAGCTTTGTAGGATTTCTCTTTGTCAGAAACCATAGTGTTTGCCATAGGTACAACTGCTTCCTGTCCTTTGCTGCTCCTAGCAGTCCACACCACATTTGGTCTTGTCACCCTTTGCAATACTTGATCATAAGCTCCAAATGTTTCTCTATTTGAATGCCTGCTCATTGCCAAGAACTCTACAGCAACTGCAGATGGTGTGCCCTTACAACATGCTACAGGATGCCAATGAAAAAGAGCCAGGATGCTTACCTATCTATTTCTCTTAGCTTTCATCATGATTGTTGCCAACTCCCAGCACTTCTCTGTTGGCTTTTCGCACAATGCAGAACAGAGGAACGGCTGCCTGCAAACAAATCTCATTGCTGGTATGCCTAGCAGGGCGGCATGGTAGGTAACAAAGCGCTCTTCTTTGGCTAGAAGGCCCAGACAGGCCTGTGCAGTGAGTGCCTGCAGAAAATAATGTTGTACCTCTTTGCAGGCTGTGCTTTGTTGCCTGACGTTTCCCAGTTGCAGCAGAGCAGAGGGCACAAAAAGCAAATTTCAGTGCTTTTAGAGACCAGGTTATGGTTTTAGCATTTTACTGAACTCGAAGTGCTCGGAGAGGCAGATAAAAGTGAAGGAACAGCTCAGGAGCAAGGAACCACAAGGACAGTGTGTGAGTGTGTACCAGAGATCCTGGCTGAGATAAAGGGACACACTTTCCAGATAAATGAGAGCTTCACAAAATGCATCCCAGAGGAACCTGCAGCAGCAAGGACATCCAGGAGCACGGAAGCACAATCATCATTCCCCTCTCCTGCACCTGTGCTATCAGCACATACAGGAGGAGAAAGGGCTGGAGAAAACAGAAGCCCTGCAGCATGGAATATTTAAGACAGCGCAATTGCAAGCCTTGGAGGCATCATTAGCTTTTGCCCTGCACTCTTTTCACATGTTCAGCAATTACAACATTTCTCTGAAGATGCTCCCATGAATTTTTCCCCGGTTGGGGTTTGAGGAGGCAGAGGAGCACAGCTCTGCTGCAGGTGGGAGCAGGGGGTTGGGCACACGCTCAGGGCTCTGTGTCACATCCGTTTCCACACTTGTAGGCACCCGTCATGATGGCATGCTTAAGGAAAAACACAATTTAAAGAGGAAGAAGGGCTTCCAGTCAGTTTGAAAGTGGGCCCTTGCAGTAAAAGCCTGCATCAACAGGGCTGCATTGGTGCTGGAGGATGGCTGTAGCTGGCCAAGGTGCATATTTTTTCCCATCCCCAGAGGCTGTGGTAAGCTGACATCATGCTTGGTGCAGGCAGGTGAGGCTATTCTACAAACAGAAACTTGGATTTTTTTCAGTTTGGAAGTATTGTCTGTAGGCACCCTCACGGCTATGTTGACAAAAGCAGATTTCTATCAACAAAGTTTTGGAGCACATCTGAGGTATGAAACTCATAACCTCCTGGCTCCCAGCTTAATGTATCTTCCCTTAGCCCAAAGGGCATTCCAGTGTGCACAAGCTTTCCTGTGTCCTGACAGAGGCTTGAGTTCCATATTTTCCAAATAAGCACAGCACAGGAGTTTATGAAGTACAATAGAAAAGTTCAGAAAATAATAAACCCATGTGCAAGGGCTTTTCTCTGTGAAGAGACTGCATAGCTTTTCCCTGAGCACCAAAGACCTTTCAAGCATTTTTGTTTGCCCTCTGAATAAGAAAATAAAGATGGGGCATTGAATAATCTCACCCTCTCCATACTGCTCTTCTGATGCTCATCAGTCAGTCTAGGACAGTTTCCCTATACCTTACTGCACATAAAAGCAGACTTCACTGGTGGACTATGAGCTACAGTCTTGCTGTGTAAGAAAGCAGGTAACAAACAAAATGCTTCTGCTTTTTCACCCTTTTCTTACGGGAGAAGAAAGACAACATGCCCCTTCATATCACGCTCTGAGAATCTGCTTTGTTTAAACAGTCTGGAGTATATACTAAGGTTAAAGAACAAAAGCAAGGAGAGTTGTTAAAAATCCTGTAAAAATCTTCCTTTAGAAAAACAATTGGAATCTGCTCTCTGTACCTCTTCCTATGAGGTCAATCCAAGCCTTGGCTCAAGCTGCAGTTCTGTAGTCACTGTGTGCTAACCTAGGTGTGCACTCCAATCAAGAGCAGTGACTGTTCCTTTGCCTACTTCTCTACCAGTTTTATGATCCTGGTGCACTCCGTAGAACCTTATAAAAAGAAATGATTAGCTTCCAGCTGAAGTACTGCTTTGTTTCTGCAGTCATGTGCTGTGTTGTAATGTATATAGCATAGTTTTAGTTGCTACCAAATCAATAATGTAGTAACAGATGCTTTTGACAACATTTGATTTACAGGTAAAGTGTTTTGCAAAAGCTTTAAGCTGTAAATAAGCACAAGAACTGCCACCACTCTGCATTATTCTTGTCACTGTGTGATGGAAATGCTCCTGACATACAATTGTGCAACTTAAGGGCTTGTATGTAACATGAGCGAAGCCTGTTTTTCCTATATTTAGGATGTCTTTCCCACTTCCAGACTTCTTCTACATGTTTAGATAATGAGGCACAGCCTTCACCTCACCTCTACCACCCTCTTGGCTTCAACAATATACTGTCATAACACATTTTTTCTGCACTTTGATCAACAATCTTGTTTGTGATTTGCCATCAGGTGACATTTTCAAAACAAACTTGGGTGTCAGCGCCTAATTGCTACAAATCTTAAAGGAATCTGTTGCCTGAAGCCTCTCACAAGCTTTCACCACGCACAACTTTTGTCCTTGCAGGTTCCATCTCTTTTAGGCTTTTTCCTTCTGCGTGCTCACAAGAAAGGTAATGACTTCAGCAATGAGCCAAAGTGCTAACACCTGACCCAGAAACAATTTTAAAAACAATACATGATGTAAAGCACTGAAGATTAATGATCCTCTCAGTGGCACCGTTTGTTTGTTACCATTTCACTTTCAGTTGTTCTGTTGTCCTGCTATTCTGTGATTAGGAGTTTTGCAACGATAGAAGGATGATTTATTTTTATGGGAAAGATCTTTCTAAGTAACAGAGGTATTTGGGTGGGTTAGTTTCTTTTATCAACACTGTGGAGAGGCAGATCCTGCATCCCATAAACAAACACAAAAAAAACCAACCCACAGCAGTTCAAAACTTCTCTGACTGGAAAGGAGCTGCACATCTGCACCTCCAAGGAGGCCAAAAAGCAGAGATAAAAAAACCACACATAGTGGGAAAGAGCATTTAAAGTTGTTGAGGTAAGCAAGGGGAAGGGTTTTATTTCTTTGCTCTCTGCTTTGAGAAAGGGGAATCCCTCTCATCAGTGAGGGATGAGGACACTCGTAAGAACCAGAACTCAGCTGGATCCCAATGGACTTACTGCTGATTGCCATTGCAAGATAGGAGATGCCGGACTGCTGCTGTCGGGCCAGCAAAGATAAGAAAACTCAAGATTTGGAGGAAGGCCTGCCAGAAGGCAATAGACTTTTAGAATTGGACAGAGAACATTCCTGCTCCTTTTATTGGGAACTTTTAGTTGAAGAGTCTTTAATACACTTTTTTTTTTTTTAAACAAAATACTGATTAACAAACTACATGCCCTCCCAACACAATGCACATCAAAATACAGAAAGAGATCTAATCAAATTTCACTGGCTGCGCTTTGAAGTGGTATTCCTTCTTCTTGTACATACCTGCCTCTTCACCAGCTGTTCCACTCTGTATTTTCTTTCTTCTTCAGAAGTGAGAGAAGGGAGGGATGTGCGGACTGGAATCAGCAGTTGGCATATTTTCTCATGGATACTAACCCAGTCGGCTTTCTGATGATCTACATCGCTAACAAGAGAAAGAAAGAATGATATTTTTGTTTACTTGGAAATAACATAAAGATTATTTCTTGTTGTTTCTTCTGGACTTTCACCACAAGAGTTACTCACAACAGCCGCCACTCCATAACTTCTTAGAACTGCTGAATCATTCAGGTTGGAAAAGACCTCCAAGGCCTCACTCCAACCATTAACCCATAAACCACGTCCCTAGGTGTCACATCTCCACATCTTCTGAGCACTTCCAGGAATGGCGACTCCATCACTTCCTTGGGCAGCCTGTCCTAAAGCTCCACAACCTTTTTGGTGACAGAATTTTTTCTGATATCTGACCTGACATCCCTGAGAGCAACTCCAGGCCGTTTCCCTGTCCTGACATTGTTTGGAGGAGCCTGACCCCAGCTGACTGCAGCCTCCTGTCAGGTATCCGTGGGAGCGGTGAGGCACCCGGCTGATGCTCAGCCTGGTGTCAGAGGGACGCACACAGCTGGCGGGATGTCAGCACACTCGCGTGGCCCGCAGGCGGTGCCGCCACACTGTGCATTAAGGCCTTCACTCACAGAGCCCCACACACCACTCGGCTCCTGCGAACGCCTCACTTTCAGCACCAGAGCGAAAAAAAAACGAAGCCAACCCAACCCCGAGCCTGACTCGTGACACCGGTGAGGTCTGTCCTTAAGCGTGATCGCACCGAGAGCCCCAGGGGGCGCGGACAGCCGGAGGCCCTCACCAGTAATACGTGAGGCGGCAGCGGGAACAGCGCAGCCGCGCCGCCGCCTCGCACAACTCGCAGCGGCCGGACCACTCCAGCGTCCCTCAGCGCGGTGGCCGCGTTGCCGTGGCGACGGGGCGGCGCTTCCGGTGTGGGAGGTACTTCCGGCGGAAGTAGAAGAGGGCAGCGCCGTCATGGCGGCGGAGACACTTCCGGCGGAAGTAGGCGGAGGTAGGGCGGGCATGGCGGCGGCGAAGGAGGAAGCCGTGGCGGCGGCGGCGGAGGAGCGCGTGCGGGTCTGGGCGGCGGCTCAGGTGGCGAGCGGGCGGCGCGTGGCGCTGGTGACGTCGGGCGGCACGCAGGTGCCGTTGGAGACGCGGGCCGTGCGCTTCCTGGAGAACTTCAGCAGCGGGCGGCGCGGTGCGGTGTCGGCCGAGCGCTTGGTGAGCGCCGGGTACGGAGTCTGCTTCCTGCACCGCGCGCGCTCCGCCTTCCCCTGGGCCCGCGTGCTGCCGCCGCCCGGCCCCGCGCTGCTCGACGCCCTCCGCCTCACCCCGGGGCCGCCCCCCGGCGTGGCCGCAGACCCCGCCGCCCTCCCCGCCCTGCTGCCCGCCCTCCGCGCCTACCGGCAGGCAGCCGACACGGGCGCGCTGTTGTCGCTCGAGTTCACCGGTCTGAACGAGTATCTGGCGCTGCTCCGCGCCACCGCCCGCGCCCTGGCACCGTTCGGTACGGGTGGGGCTGGGATCGGCGGGAGGGGAGTGGGGGCAGCGGGACCGACGGGACGGGAGGGATCTGCTGCGTGGGACTCCTGCGCTACGGGGAAAGGAGACCCCTGCACTCAGGGGCTGAGGGGCTGGGCCCACCTCACTGGTCGCCTCTGCTCTGTTCTGAGCCCCTCTCGGAAGTGTGTGTGAGGGGTTGCAGCTCTCACGGCATCAGGTGGTGTTGGCAGCGCAGCCTGCTGCAGAATGGCAGTGCAGAAGGGCCTGCCTGCTCTGTGCAGGCTGCCAGCAGTGATGGTTGTGTCTCTCGCAGGCTCCGGCGTCATGTTTTACCTGGCAGCTGCTGTGTCTGATTTCTACATCCCTGCCTCGGAGATGTCTGAGCACAAGATCCAGTCCTCAGAGGGGGCCCTGCAGGTGAGGTGCACCTGGGCAAGGCTCCTGCCCTTGCCCCCCTGTCCTGTCATGGATGTAGCGGCAGGGGACTGGCAGTGAGATCTGGGAGAGGTCACAGAGCAGTGGTTCATTAATGAGAAACATACGTGTTCACAATTAATTCCTATGCACAGGAAAAATAAGACCCTACCTGATTCCCAGTGGCACGCCCAGGTGCAAAGAAGTTGGAGAGTAAAAAGGCAATTATTCCTTTTCCCCATATTTTGGCATATGTATCTTTCATGTGCTTTAAAGAGATGATAGAAGGGTTATGATTTGATAAGGTGCTTGGATTTTCGAGAGCTGAAAACGCTGCATTTTGCAGTTCACATTCTTCTCTTATCTTCCTTGCTGATGTTTACAGTAGCAGAGTGGACTTTAGTACTTAAATAATAACAAGCTCATGCAGTTACTGCAGGCCTGCTTCATGGCTTAAGAACACCCTGGTTATTGTTAGCAGCAGATAGGTATGTGAATTCAGTTTTGCAGTACATGCTGTTGACGTTTTACCCTGTTAATGAAATCTGACTAAACAGTGTCTTGAAAATCCTTCCGGTGTAAGACTCACATGAAATGAAGGTGGAATTTCCTTACTCCCCTTGTTTCAGTGACTTTTTTTTTCCTATTGTCTTTTCCCACTGTAGATTACAATGAAGATGGTGCCAAAAATGCTGTCTCCTCTCGTCAAAGAATGGGCTCCAGAGGCTTTTGTTATTTCCTTTAAATTGGAGACAGATCCCTTGATCTTGATCGATAAATCACGCCAGGCTCTGGAGAAATATCGTCACCAGGTGGTGGTAGCAAATATCCTGGAGTCACGAAGAACCTCTGTTATTATTGTAACCAAAGACTCACAGACTCCATTATCTCTTTCCGAGGAGGAAATAGCACAAGGTGTGGAAATAGAAGAAAAAATAGTGAGCTATCTTCAGGGCCAACATACCTTATTTATGGAAAAGAAAATCTGATGAGCAGCTCTGGATGAAGCAAATGAAATTGTACTAGAGAGAGCAGAATTGGAGCAACTCTTTGTCCCATGTGAATAGAATAATAATCAGTGCAACCCTATGGAGAAGGCTGCCGTCCAAAACTCTGCACTTTTCTACTGCTTGGTCATAGTTGCTATAGCTTGCTTTAAAAAAAACCAAACAAACAGTAAAGCGCACTGAAGTGAAAGCATTCCAAAGGATGATATTTGTTCTAGTCTGTAAAGAAGGAAAGGTTATATTGTATTTCTATCCCATGCCCTGGGAGAGGGAGAAATGGTACATATAAAATGTTTTCTCGAATCTGCTTCTTCAAAGTTTCTTTCTGGATGGAAGGAACAGAGCTTTGTGGTGCTTGGTCATGGGCTGGAGTGAAAGCGCAGCGCTGCCAGTCAGCTGGCATTGAGAGGGATGGGGAGACTGCTGGGCACATGGAATGAGAACGGGGTGGTGACAACACTGGAGGGCATCTGTTGCTCCGGGATGGATCCTGTGCATCTACACTGCGAGAACTCTGCTCACAAATGCAGTCAGAGCAACATGGCAACACCTGCTGCTGTGATTTATTTTCTTCGTGTGTATTCCTCTTGACTGCCTGCTGTCTGTGAACTGGTACCTGGTGTAGGAGGCACCCGTGTGAGGCTTCAAGAACCATAGAATGGCCTGGGTTGTGAAGGACCACAATGCGCATCCAGTTCCAACACCCTGCTGTGTGCAGGATCACCAACCAGCTGACCCAGAGCCACGTCCAGCCTGGCCTTGAATGCCTGCAGGGATGGGGCATCCACAACCTGCTGTGGTTGAGAAGCTGTGGGCTGCGAGGAAATAGAGAATAGCTGCGGTGAGCGAAGTAGGTTTTTGTGTGGTGTCCTTCCAGCAGCCGTTGTGCAGCGCTGGTCGGTGTGCGGTGGGATGGTTTGTGGTGGGCGGTCCGCGCCGTGCTGTTTGACTCGAGTTGGGGTCCGGAGCGCCGTGTGAGGGGCTGAAGGGAACGCAGCAGGCGCAGCCCTGCTAGAGAAGAGCGCGATCCCCGGGCTGGGAACCTTCCTGCTGCTTCCTCGGGAGTTGTGTGGCGGGGAGCCGGCCGGAACGCGGACGGCCTGGGGGAGGGGGCGGGCGGGGCTGAGACCCCCCCGGCCCGGGTTACGCGGGGCGGGGCATCGTGGCGCCATGGCAACGGGCAGCCACGAGCGCGGCGCCGATTGGCCGACATCCGGAAGTCCCGCCCCAAAGGGACGAGTGGCGTTTCCGCAGCCAATCGGCGCCGCGCTCGGGGCCGCCCGTTGCCATGGCGCCCCGCCGCCCCGCGGCCCGGGCCCGCGCCGCATGGAGGCGGCGGCCGCCGCGCCGGTGAGTTCCCGGGTTCCGCGGGCGGGTGCCGGCGGTGCGCCGCGCGTCGCTCACGGCGGGTATCGCTTCCCTGCAGGCGGAGCCGCCGGTACCGGCGGAGGACGTCCGGCGCTGGCTGCGGGCGGAGGGCGCGGATCCCGGCGACCCGGCGGAGGAGCAGCTGGGCCTGGCCTGGCGGCTGCTGCGGCGCGCCGAGGCGCGGCTGGGGGAGGCGGAGCGGCGGCGGGCCGAGGAGCTGAGAGAAGTAAGGGGTGAAACGGCTGGGCTGCCCCGAGAGAGCCGGCGGGGAAAGGAGAGAGGCTGGCATTGCGGGACGGCCGGGCTGGAAGGGGCTCACGGCGCTGCGTCCCCAGGTGGAGCGTTACGTGGGTCACGTCCGCGGGCTGAGCCAGGAGCGGGATGCGGCCGTCGCGGAGTGCGAGCGGGACAACGAGCGGCTCGGGATGGAGCTGGCGCGGCTGCGGCTGCAGCACGGTAATCCAGCGCTGTGCAGCAGGGTGTGGGCAGCTTTCCTGCGGGGCTTTGTGAGAGTGGTGATGTTTGGGCGTAGGGGAATTTGATGAGGTTCAAGAAGAGCGAGCGTAACGTTCAGCAGATGTGGAGGAATAACTGCGTGTACAGCACCTGACCTGCACTGACGTGGCTGGAGAGTTCTGCTCAGAAGGACCTGGGTGTCCTGGTGGCCACAGGGCGGCTGTGAGCCAGCAGGACGTTCTTGAGGCTGATGGGACCCAGGGTGCATGGCACAGAGCATGGCCTGCAGAACGAGGGAGGTTCTCCTCCCTTCTGCTCTGCACTGGGGAGGCCACATCCAGAGCACTGGGCCCAGTGCTGGGCTGCACAGTTCAAGGCAGGCGGGGAGCTGCTGGGGAGAGCCCAGGAGGGCTACAGAGAGATCGGGGCCTGGAGCATCTCCTGTGTGAGGAAAGGCTGAGAGCCCTGGGGCTGTTCAGAGGATCTCATCAGTGTTTGTAAATATCACAGGGCTGGTGTATAACAAATGGTGCCAGGCTCTTTTCAGTGGTGTGCAGGTCATCTAGTCCAACCCCTTGCTATGAGTCAGGACACCCACAGCTCCATCAGGTGCTCAGAGCCCCTTCAGTCCCTCTCTAGGGATGGGGCACCACCACCTCTCTGTGTGCCCCCAGCCCTGAGCTGACAACAAACTCCTCTGGTAGCTGAGTGCTGAGCTGTGTTTTTTTCTAGAGGTGGTGAAGCAGCTTTGCCATTGGATTTGGTTTAGAGAAAGTCCACAGATTTAAAGACAACTTTGTAGGACACTGGTATATTTGCATTGGCAATTCAAACCCTGTGGTTTGTGTTTGCTTTAGTGCTATCATTTTATTTGGAATATAGTCTCTTCCTTTAAATAATTTGCTTTTCTCTCAAACATAGGGTCACTTCATTCTTGACTTACTCCTGTCTTCTTTTGTGCACTGAGCACTGCTCAGAGCATGTTCTTACCATTAGCTCTTTCTTTTGTGCTGTACCTTATCCTGGGTCTGTGGTGAAGGTAGGGGTGAGAAGCACAGTGGGAACAGTTTCTTCATTACATGCACTTCATTTTGGGCAAAGACATAGGAGTTTGGGGAAGTTAATTGCTGTTTTGGAAGTTGGTTCTGGGCAGCCTGCAGATCTTAGGGAACATGTATGACAGTGTGACCTTACAAGACAGGTGAGTTTAAGCCCAGTCTGAAAATCTCACTCCTCTGTGGCCCCTTTGGTCTCCTGGAGCCACTTGCTACTGCAGCCACTTGCAGAGGGGTTTGTAATGATGGAGTGACTTCTTGCAAGCATTGCTGTGGTAGAAAACTTCACTGTTTTTTTTGTTTTTTTTTTTCTTCCCCACCAGGTGGCAGGCAGGAGATGGAAATGTCCCCAAAGCCTTGTTGGAATTTATTTCTCCTTGGTGGCTCTGCTCTTTTCCACTTTTTGTGTTTTTTAAGGATTCTCATGGCTGTTGGGCAATGATCAACACTCAGATGAAAACTGAGTTCTGTGCCCATTGGCTTGCTATTTGAGACCAGGTTGCTCTCAGCCCGCCACCCATGAGGGATTTCTGTGGTTGTACAGTGCTTTTATGCACTGGAGGGCAGCTGGAAGACTGGAGCTTTGCTGTCTCATGCCTGGCAGCAGCTTTGAATTGGAGGCTGTGGAATACCTCAGTAGCTGTGCCCTGGGTCCTTTAATGTTTGCGGCTGCATGTCAGCCTTTTCCTCTGAAAGCTCAGCCTTAGGAGTGGGTGCTCATGTTCTCATTTGTCAGTGCTCACTCCAGCTGGATGTCTGTGGCTCTGGACAGGATGTGCCTCAGCTGCTTGTAGTTCATGTGGGTCATTTCTTGGGCTGTATTTTTTTTTCTATCACTTTTCTTTTTCCCTTTTGGTCCCTCCCCAATTATTCTTCCTCTTTTACAAAGAACACTGCCCATCTCTGTCTCTGTGCCTCTGCTGCCTGTTGTGTGGCTGCAGGGTTTGGTGCTACATCACTGCTGGCTCTGTTCCCTGGACTTCTGCTTTTTGCTGGAATGTGTGCAAACCAGTCCAGATGATTCCTCCCAAGTCTTGTGGGTGTAGGGCAGGCAGAAGGCCTGCATCTAGAGGCTGGCTGTCCTCCAGGTCTCACTTTGCCTCTTGTTTAGTTTTGTTTTTCTTTAGAAGGGACAAGATGATACTGCAGATCAGGCTTTGTCAAAACAGGGCTGGAGAAGGGATCTTGTGAAAAGGAAGACCCCCAGCCCAGTGGGATTGTTAAACAGAAATGTGAGTAAGGCGAGTCCAGAGGACTGGGCCTGGAGAGTCACTGTAGCCATGCCTGGTTTTATGTTGAGCTATTGATGCAACTTTACCTCATTTGGTACCTCTGCCCAGATTGAAATTTTTCCTGTCCTCGAGGCAGTTCATAATCCATTTCTGATGGTTCTCATCTCGTGTGCCTCCGTGTTTTTGGAGGGCAGATCGATAACTCATGCACGGAATTACCAAAGCTTTTATGAAAAACAAATGTACCAGCAGTAAAACACAATGCAGTTGGAGCCTACAGTGATTTAAGAGCGAAACAAAAAAGAATAGTTGTAGCCTGTTTGTTATAATAGCTGTATTGCTCTCATGTAGGCAGCATGGATGAGTTCCTGTTGTGGGTGTGATAGCTGTGAATTGCTTGTCCCTGTGTGACAGGGAGGGAAACCTCGTGAAAGCAAGACAGCTTTGCAAATACAAAGCTTGCCTCCAAAGAAGTGGTTGTGCAGTGGGTACTTGCTTGTGGGAATGCATCAGTGCACTGCTGTGACATTGATCGTAGAATATGTTTGCTCTCTTCAAGAATGGGTATGGTAGAGAAGGGTTTGTGAGATGCTGGTGAGAAATCAGGACGATTTACAAGCAGCAGTTTGTATACAGCAGGCTGCCCTCATTCTCTCAAATCTTTCTTTCTTTAGCCTGTGCAAAATGTCTAAATCCTCTTGCCACAAGCTAAATCATGTAGTGTCATTTTTGCAGATTGGGTAGAAGGCAAATTGATGCCCCATCCCTGGAGGCATTCAAGGCTGGGCTGGATGTGGCTCTGGGCAGCCTGGTCTGGTGGTTGGTGACCCTGCCTGTGGCAGGGGGGTTGAAACTAGATGATCGTTGTGGTCCTTTTCAACCCAGGCCATCTATGATTCAGATACCTTCAAGCAAAACTACCAGCCAAGAAGCAGCTGTAGGAGGTCAGAGCTGTCAATCCCTTTGACCTGCTGTCCTATTGCTGGCTGTATTCAGAGCAGCTTTCAGAGAAGCTGTAACCCTGACTGCGAGCACAGGTGGGATTTGGCAAAGCCATGGCAGGAATCTGTAGGGCACGTTGGGTGTTAGGTGGGTTTTTTGATTCAGTATGAGCTGTGGGCTCTTCCTAATGCATATGGAGCAAGGGATGAGTTAGTTTTTCAATTGCAAAATGCAATATTTTGTGGTTTGCTTCAAAGAGAGAAGCAGCAAACGAGCTGTATTTGACCTCTTTGTGGAACAAACTGTAATTCATAACCACAGGGAGCACGAAGGGGAAACCGCAGGGTGTTTTCCATTCATAGGGCTGAACAGAGCTGGCTGCAAAATGCAGAGTGGAAACATGGCATTGATTTGAGCCGTAGGGTGCGATTGCGTTGGGTCCCCTGTTAAACCCAGAGAGTGGGAGTGTGGAGCAGACGTGTCCAGAGCAGTATAACTACCCTAAGAGTACTAGAAATGTAGAAATGCTTGTTTCACTTCCAATGTTTAGTTCTTTAGGCAGTACAACAGTGTGAACATCCCTTCTACTTCCATACAAACCCCCAGCTCCTCTTGATTCCCATGTGAAGGCATGTGTCAACTTTTATCATCTAGTTTGGACTAGAAATTGGGAGAGATGGTTGTTTTCTTCATATTCATCAAATTACTGCAAAAGTGATAGTGAGGCTGATGAGAAATGAGCAGTAAAGCCAACTATGGCCCTACATACCACAGTGCTTAGCCATAATCAAGCACCAGCTTCTCTTGGGAATACCATTACATTCCATTTGCTTTGAAAGCCGTTGAAGTCTTTCCCAGTGCAGTCTTCCTAGCTGGTACTTTGAGAGAAATGATGAAGAGCTGTAAGTTTGATTCTAAAAGGGATTTTTACACCTTTAATCCTACAGGAGAGGCCTTGGAGGTCTGTTACCTGAAGAAGTCTGTGGGATTACAGCTGGTTTTGGATGAATGTGCATGGGGGAAAAAAGTGCTGCTCAGATCTACCTCCTCACTGCACACTGAACGATATGGCATTTTGTCTGCTCTTTCAAAGAAAATGTTTGACATTGCCTGCCCTCTGTTTTGTTTATCTTGAGGCCTTTCTAATCTGTAGTTTAGTTCCCACTGAACTGTGTTAGGAGTTAAGAGGCTCAAGGATAATGAGGTTGGTGGAGCTGAGCTGCCGGGTAGAGGGAAGGTGAGAAAACTCAGATGCAGAAAGTCCTATTGCTTGCTTGACAGGCAGGGTAGTGGGTATAAGCAGGAACATCAGGACAGTGGGATTAGGGCAGGAGCAAGGGATCTGGAAAGAAGGTGGAGAGACTGAAAGTTCTATGAGCCTTTGAAGGGTACGGGGAGAAACTGGGGCTGTTGTGAGAGGGAGTACTTAGTGAAGCTGGGATGAGATCTGCAGGGGATCAGTCGGGCTTCCTTTCTTCCTTTGCTCACAGAAAGCCTTGCCTTACAGAAGCCCAGCTGAAGGAGGTCCAGGAGATGCTGGAACAGGAAGGCTTGTCCGAAATAGCTCACAGTAATGCCAGTGAACAGATTGCTTATTTACTGGTGGAAAGAACGGCGCTGCTGGAGAAACTGCAGGTCGCAGATCAGAAACTGAACTCACACAGTTGTGTAGACAGGCTGTGTGCTGCACAGCTTCAGGTACGCCCTGCTGCAGCTGTTTGGGCTGATGGAAAGCATGCTGGGGAAGAGAATGTCTTTATGATTATTTCTTTTTAAGTAAAATGATCTGCAGATTCTCAGTGCTCACATATATTCTTTTCGTTTTAGTAGTTTTTCACAATTGTGTTTTTCTGCATGATTTGCTCTCACATCTTACACAGGGCAGGGATAATAAACAGGGTTATGTTATTTCTAGTTAGAGTTCCTGCCTTGCTGTTGTGGGGTTGGTTGTCACTCCTGGTACAAAAGCACCTTCAGATGTAAGTATCTTCCTCAGAAGGAAAGAAATCAGCAAGGGAGAGCTCCCTGATGTGCTGCCTCCCACTCCCTAATAGAAAATGTCTCTATGCAAATCCTGAATGATCTTGTGACTTTCTTGCCACTTGATACAAACAATTGCAGAAAATTGTCTGTTTTTCTGGTGAAGCATTGTAACAGAACTTAACCTGGTTAGAAGGAAGCAAAGCTGTAACTTCCCAGTGAAGTGCCAGTTAATCACACCTGCCCCTGGGCATTTACCTGCTGCAATCAGATTCATTCTTCCTTCATTATGATGACTGAGTAAGAGAAATAGAGGCATGTCAGCTGAAGGATGCAGATGCTTGCAAGTCTCATGTTGAATCCAGACCATCCTGCATGGAGCTCGCACTTTTGAAGATGCAGCTGATGCTTACCCCTGTTAGATGTAAGCGCAGGTTCCATCCATCGCTCTAAAGAGCAAGCAGGCAAGGAGCATGACTGCAAGCAGGGGTGAGAGCTAGAACAGGTATTCTGCATTGATGTTCATGCTTGTAAGCTAGAAGCTGTTGATTAAGCACTCTGCTCTTTTTGGTAGCGCCACGCTTTTTCTACACAATCATGAGAGTCACCATGGTGTTTCGAGGCAATAGAGCAATTAACTTTTTGACTGGAACATGTAATCTTTCTAATCCTCAAAGGAGCTGCTTCATGGTTGTTCACTCTTATGCTGGAAGCCCAAAAAGTCTGGGTGTAAACGTGCATTTTCTTGTAGCTGTCTCTGATGCATATGAGGTATTTTCGCAGAGATGTGGGATATCTCTGGTTGAAATCTGTTCTTTATAAGGTATGATTATAGCACCCTACTAATGAAGGCATGTTAAAACTGAAAATGCAATGTGCTGGTGTCCAGGGATTCATGGCAAGATGCTTTCTTGTGCTGATCTTTAAAAATTTATTTCTGTGCAAGGATGAATTTGCCCACATTCATCAGGAGTTGGAAGATGAACTCCAGCAACAGCGTGAATCCATGCAGCATGCTGAAGATACAGTAAATGAGGTAATACATTGACATATTTGATTGCTTGATCGCATGGCACGTAAGTGAGATTTCAAGCAGTGGGTCTACTCTTCCTCACACTGTGAGGTTACTTAGAGATTTGTGCTGGTGAAGTGTGAGTCTGGAAACGCAGCCAGTGCAATCATGTCAGGTTGGTACTACTTAATGAACAGGATTGTTTGAAGGGGGGAAAAGCAGAGCTCTGTAGGAAACAGCCATAGCACACCGTTTGATGTCTGCATTTTGGCATGTTCCCCTTGCAGCATGCCTCTATAAGCTCACCTGTTTTCTGTTTGTGTGGCCACTAATGTTCCAGCGGGTCAGGAGGAGCATGGAGGGGCCATCTGTGGTCACTGAGAGTCATCTTATTTCCATTGCAGCACTAGCTTGTGTGTTTCAGCCCTACAGGAGAGAGCTGGAGAGGGAACAGGCATCACGTGTGAGAGTAGAACAAGACCTGGCTGAGGCCACACAGAGGCTGCTGATGGCTCACAAAGAGATCCAGAGGCTGACAGATGAGCTGGCTGCACAGGGAAAGGAGCAGAGCAGAGTAGGTAAGAGCTCCTATTGTGGCTGCATGCCACTCCTTGTTACTAGCTGGCATTTAGCCCAGACCTGTTTAATGCAAGCCTTGCACTTCTTTGATAGGATATTTGGAGAAAGGCTGTCCTGCTTGTAATGTGAAAAAATCAGTGTCAGATTTTTACCTCAGTATTGAGGAGATCTGAATGCATCCAGTAAATGCAGTCAGGATGAAACCCTGTTTTGTGGATACAGTACCTAAAGCCAGATGCTTCACTGGTGCATCCTGCAGGAGCCCCCCCTGGCAAAACACCGGCCCCTAGATGCTTTTTCTCTGGGCTGCTCCAGTTGTCCCCAGTTCCGTGAGAGGGAATGCCAGCGGTGAGCAGCATTTGCAGCAATTAGGAGACTGCTAGCACCTGGGCAGTGCTGCTATGCAAATCATAGATCATGATTCTAACCTTGCAGCTTTCACAATGTTCAGATATGTCCCTAACCCTCCTAGCCAGCCTCCAAACCCATCGTTACAGCCTTTCAATCACAGGCATTGAAACGAGCGCAGTTATCTGCTCTGTGTATCGATTGATACACGTGCATCTGTGGGCACAGTGCATGTGCTGTGTTGCAGCCTCCAAACGGCACTGCTTCCCCAGATTTCAGACGGGATGCAGCGTGACTCCTCTCAGTGGATCTCCCTAAGTATCAAATGAATCTAAGGCTTTCCAAACTGTGAGTAAGGTTTTGATGCTTGCTATGTCTGTGTGGCTTATTGTGTTATATTAGAGTGCAAGATGAGTGAGTTCTCCTGGTGCTGTCTGTCCTGCATGCCTTCTCTTCCCTATGAGCTGCAGAGCCATGAATAAACAGATTCTTTGAATAGAAACAAAATCTCTGATCTTCAGTAAGACTCCACTGGAGCGGTGTATTTTGGTTCAACCTGCAGCTGCCTGCTTGTGTTAATGGGAAAATACAAGATTGCTCCTGAGCAGTTTGTAGCCCCATTCTTGAGTCTTTAGTGATGGAGATTAGAGATTTTAAATCATGTGCAATGGTTTAGCTGCCCACCCCTTGACTGACTCTTTTTCTTACAATTTTATGTTTAACAGAGAAGTGCATCAAAAGTGCAGCTGAGTTTTGTGTTCAGAAATGTGTAACCAGAGCAAAACTGTCTTCCTGTTCTTACAGGAGCTGCCCAGTGGTCAGTGCTGCAAGATTCTGGGAGCCAGGGAGAAGGCATGGATGAATGGAGGCAGGATGGTAAGTCACCCAATTCACAAGCAGAGGAGATCCAAAATCATAGTAAGGCTTTCCTTAGCATTAAAACAGGCTTTTTGGCCAAATGAAGGCTTTGATAGAAGGTTTTTCTTGTTTTTTTTTCATTTCAAATTACAGAAAGTGAAAATCCAATTGCACAGTCATTGCTTGGAAGTGGAATTTGAGGTTATGGTTAGTTTTTGTTGTTGTTGTTATTTTTTGCTGGATTGGAATGAAGGCACTGGGTATAGTTTTAGTTTTGCCTAAGGAAAAGCCAAGTTTAAATTGAAAAGGGAAAAATCTTTGTTCATTTCTTTAAGGAAAACTGGCTTCCCACTAGTTATACTTAGGAGTAGCAGAGCAGTGTGCATGCACTTGGTAGACCATTGCTGTCAGTGTGCTCCCAATACAGACATATTCTCCTATTTCTTGCAGGTGAAATACTGTTCTGTGTTAATTCATCTGATGGTTACACATGCTTATTGATTCAGGCTTATATGGCCATAAGTTTTGCTCTACTCATCATGTCCTAAATATCAATACATTAATACTGTGGTTCTCTTTCTGCTCATAGCAAATAGTGAATGTTATGCAAGTTTTCACTCATAAGGAAACTTCTTCCAAACTGTTTTACACTGAAGTACCTTTTGTGGACAGACACCAGATTTGTCCATGCTGCTGATTCTGGCTGTAACTTGAAATAGAACATAGCTCGTGTGTGGTGGATGGTTGGGGGATTTGAACTTGAGACTGCTGTCCTCCTGCAGTAAACGTGGCACAGCTTGGTAGTGCTGATATCAAACCTGGATCTCCAGAATCATAAATCTCTGTCTGAGTGAGAGAACTGTGCTCCCACGTGCATCTGTCTGCACTCTGCTGTCACACACCTGTGCATAAGGGCAATGCAGTTTCAGAAATTCATGTGATAGCTCCGCTCTGAGCTCAGTGGAGGCGAAGGGCTGAGGCAGTGTTGGAGCTGGTGACCAGTCCATGTGCTGTGTCCAGACAGGACGGAGCTGCAGAAGGCCATGGAGCACAACAGCAGGCTGGACAAGGAAATTCTGGCTCTGCGTGCACGGGTCCAAACACTCGACTTGGAAAGAAAAACATTCCTTGAACTGGTGAGTGCCCATGCTGTCCTGGCTTGTTCTCTGGGTCAGCAGGCTGCTGACAGCTGGCATTCCTGGGCTGATTGCTGATGTTCAGCTGGACTCCTTTCCCTGCTCTGCCTCTGTGTTTCCCCTTTTTGCTGTGAGTTTTTCCAGAACTGCAGTTCTGATGTCATGTGGCTCATAAACATCCTAAGTAAATCGTTCACGTAATGAGATTAGAATTCTCTGAATGCAGCAATCTTTCTCAATAGGATATTTCCTTAGTGAGATGGCCAATGGGGGGTGAATAACTTGGCACAAGTTTTGCCTCTGTCCTTAACTCTTGAATTCTATTAGTTATTCAGCAGCCTACAGCTGGTTCTCAAGAGTTTTAATTGCTTATGTCATCCCACATCTTGCTGTTTTCCTGGATTAAAACTAGTAGTTTTAAAATAATACAGTATCATTGAGAATACTGTGCCCATCTCTTTCAGACAGTATCAAGACTTACTTTCTTGAATGAGATTTATTAACATTTGAGGACTTCAAACTTTTAGTATGCAGTTCTGCTCCTTGCAGAACTTGTTCAAAACATGCTGACTCTTAGTGTTATGCTGTCATCTAAAGCTTGGATTTACAGGGCAGTCTGTGCTGCACATGCACACATAAGTATATAGATAATAGAGATGCATCTAAGATTTGAGATTGACTTCTCAGTGCAAAAAAGAAATGTAGCCAGACTGAGATCACTTCCAGCCAAACATGTTGTCAAGCTAAAATTTAAGGATCTTTATTTCTTAGGAAGATGAGGTTTAACTGTTCATGTAATAGAAAGCTGTCATTCTAATCTGTAAAAGCTGTGAGCATACTTTATGACCCATGAGAGGTGTGTGTCCTGAAGTCATTTTTCTGTCTGAGAGCAGCGTGGGCAGTGGGTGAGCTGCATGCTGACCTCCTATTGCTTTCACCTCTCTGGTCTGAGGCCGCCTGGCGGTACCAGCCATGTGATCTCGGCCAATCCCTCAAGCTGAGCATTAATATTAATAAAGCTTCAGTTTATGGAGGAGGATCTTAATCCCATAAGACAGAGAGATGAACATCTGCCAAAAGTACAAGCATTTTTATTTTGAAGGTTGAACAGCTGAAAGAGGAGATCAGTGAGTATCAAAAAGGCGAGAAACGGGGATTCCTCCTACCCACACCAGGCAAGACTGAAGAAATTGCAGCTTGCTCACTGCAGGTATTTTCAAGTGCCTTTTGTTTGCCATCACGGAAAGCATATCCTTTGTGTGTGTGTGTAGATGTGTAGAGCACATCTGTTGGTATAAGCTAACGTCCTCTGCTGCCTTTGTAATCATTACAGGTCTGGGGGGGTTTTACTCTTGTGGCTGGTGGATTATCTTAATACAGGCAGATGTAGCTCGTGTCCCATTCATTTGTTAGAGACTTGGGCATCTTTAAAATCACATCATGCCAAGATATTTCAGTCTTAATTGCATGCTAACTTTTCTTTTTCTCTGATACACAGGGCACAAAGGATGAAGGGAAAGTTGAAGAGGATTGTATTACAGGCAAAGCTGGCTCAGATCAAGAAGACAGATGTCAGGGCAGTGAAACTCTTCATAAAAGGTTTGCACCGTAGAAATCCTTAATAAGTTGTCTTTTTGTATGGCTTATTTTGCATTCTGGCTACTGTTTCTCTGTCCTACAGAGTGCGCTTAGGAGTTGGGTTCATTAGAGTATCCTTTGGTACCAGCTTTGTTTCTTTGCTCTTGAATTAGAAAGTTTGGAGGTAATGCAGTCCTGAGTGGATGTGTATCAAGAATGCAGTCTGTTTTCTGGCACTTTCTCCTGTTTTTTGCTTTCCTAAAAGAGTAGATGGCAGGTTTTTGTGGCTCCCTGAAGGCAGAAGTGTTGTTTTGGAAATTGTTTTGCTGCTGGGAGGATTTTCTCTGGATTTGATTGCTGTCCAGGGGATGTACCAAAACATTTGGCTTTCACACTTAAATACGTTAACTGGGATTTTTAAGGGAAGACAAAGCTTCATTCTCAGGTGGCCTGCTCAGGATGTGCTGCTGCTAAGCCTCTTCTAAGGGCTTCAAGGAGGAAAGGACTGTCTTATCCCATCCCACATAGCAGTTTCAGTCTTGGTGATGTTTGTCATTGTTGTGCAGGTGTCGAGAGGTGATTGAAAACATCGAGGGCAGGAATTCACAGCTCCTTCACAAGCTGCACAAACTTGAGCAGGAGCACGAGGATTTGGTAGAGCGCAATGAAGAGCTGGAATCAATTCTGGGAGAGACACAAATCCAAACAAAGCAGGACAAGGAACAGTTTGAGAGTGAGGTGGAGGGACTTCACCGGAAAGTAAGTAAGGAATGGGAGAAATACTGTTTGGTTTTGTTTATTTCTAGCTGCTTGTCTCTCTGCATATCGATTGGAAAAATAAAATGATGCTGGACCTAAAGCTGCATGCTGCTTTGTTTAGTTTAACAAGAAACACTACTTGCAAAGTATGTCAGTCACATGATATTGACACTTGCTTGGAGGTATGCATACCCCAAGGAAGTACAGCAGCTTTGTCTTTTCCAACTTCTCCCTTTTTTGCACTTGAACAAGCACTCTTAACGAGCTAATTTGTTGTCCTGCACCCACAAGATCAGGCAACACTCCCTTCACAAACAGCCCTTCTGTAAGTGTGGGCTGTGCAACCTTCAGTTTCTTGTCTGAGCTGAAGCAAAGCCTTTGCGATTCAAATTTGAATTGCGTGATGTTTTCTCTGAAGGTATTTCCTTTGAGCCTCTTGTATCTTGGAAGCATTTATTTCCCTGACTTCCATGTCAGGCTCCTTGAAGAGCTGCATTTCCACCTTGGATGGATGTTGCTGCTGCCCTCAGTTCCTGCTGAAGAGCAAGTTTGAGGCAGCCAGAAGTTCTTTGGGGGCTCAGAAGAGGCAAGAGGTTTTTCTGATAGAAGGTCATCATGGAAGGCCTGGCTTTGGCTTCAATTCCCATTCCCTCTCCAGACCTGCCTAACAGAAGAAATTGGTCACTGTGGGGCACTGGTGCCACCTGATCTGAAAGATTGCTAATTCAGCATGCTGGTGATGAAAGGTTGCACTTGTGACTTCCTGAACACAGCATCTTGGACGCCTGTCAGTTGCAAATGCTGAAGCACATGGGAGTATGGGGGCCAGGATCTGCGTCCTTTCCTTTCAGAAAGGATGTCCCCAGACTATTGGATTTGAGAGGACAGTGAGGTTTTCCTCATCACCCTTTCTCTCATGCTGCAGCATCTGCTGTTGAATAGAGCAGAGATGGCTGGGCACACCTTTCTGAAGAGCTCTAATAAATTAATGCGTTTGGACAGGCTCTGCTCTACCTTGATCAAGAGGTGATCTCGCTAGTGTCTTCCTAATGTGTCCTGCTTGGTTTCTTGGGCACCCTCAAAATGAAGGCAATCTGGGTCTTTTTCTGTTAGCAGGACATGGCTGTTCAAAGGATCCTTTGACTTGAGAAGGTTAAGAAAGTCCTTATTTTCACTTATTTGCACATGACCATCTGGGAGCCTTTAGGACACCATTGATCTGAAGCACTGTGGTGGTAATCTCATTTACCAGAGCTGTGCAATGTTAGAGACCTCCTTGCAAGACCTGCCGAGTCATCTCCATTGACATCTTGAATGTGGATTAAATGATGGGTGAAGCTTCTCAGTCTGAAGCTGCCATTGTTGAAGTGGTCCTTAGACCTGATGTGATGAGGGCTCCATCCTTCTGGAAGTGACATTGTGAGGAGCACTGCTCCACGGTATTGGTGGAGCATTGCTTAGCAGGGCATGCAGTCCACCTCAACCAGGCAGCTGAATAGCTCTAAGGACAGATCTTGTTCTCTAATCTATAGCCAGAGAGCAGAGGAAGCCAGAAAACTTTTGCTTCTAGGTGGGTAGGGAATAGAGAAGCTTCACCCCCAAAACAGACTGTCAGGGACTTTCAATTTCCTTTGGTTGGCTGGAGGCCTTGCTGCTTGGCCAAGAGTTTCTCCATTGGGTTGAGCAGCCCCATCCTTTCTGACTGAGGCCAGGAGATGCTTCCAAGCAGCCAAGGAGATGCAAGGCTACAAATGGCAGCGGAGGAGAGGTCTGCAGGATGGAAGAGGAAGGCTAAACCTTGGCTAGATTCACTGTCTGTACAGATGGAGTGCAGCAGAGCTGCGTTATTCATCTCTCAGGCTTTTGGGTGCCTTGGCTGTGGTGTGGGAAGAGCTGCACAAAGGCGAGTGTATTGGAGCCTGGAGAAAGCAGCACCCCTGGGTGTTTGCCAGGCTGCACCGTGTGAAAAGGACTTGGGAATCTTTTCTGCTTTGGCACACCTACCAAAATCCTGGCTGCATAGGTTGCTGACACAGAACAGGGATGCGGGGATACAATGTGAGTATTGTTTTGCCATTAGAATGGGACTTACCTGCCCAGCTTAAATACTGAAAAGTTAATGGCTTGGAGGAAAAATAAGCTAAATAATGTAGATTTATTGTGTATCAGCTTTGTGAACAAAGGCTGACAGGGGGTTGAGGAGAGCAGGTTTGCTTTGTTCCTGAGATCCCTTCCAGAGCTCCAACGTCCTGTTAGAGCTGCAGGCTGTCATCCTGTCACGGAAAGGGTTTCTATATGAGCCCTGAGTGTTTCACCCCACTGGGTTGCTGTTAAATCCTGGCTTGGTAAAATTAAAAAACAGGCTTGCTTGGCCTTTGAAACAGCAGGATGAAAGGTCTGCTGAAGCCAGCCTGCCTTGGCAGCAGTCCATATCCACCCCTACTCCTCGCTTCCAAATGTGGGATTTGTTCTGAAGTTGCTACATTCGCTGCCTTTTGCAAGGGCTGGTTTGGCTTTAACCTGTGATTTGTGTATGTTAAGATCACGAGTTTAGAGATGGAATTGCTTGAAGTGCAGAAGAACAAAACAGAGATGAGTGGGGAAGAGCAGGCATCCAATGGAGCACAGGAGATGCAAGAGGTAAGGGGTTTTCTTTAGGAAACGTGTCATTTTATTTGGAAATGTATTAAATGAACATCTCGTGAATGTTCTTTATCAGTTTCTTCTGATAATTTGCACCCTATCAGCTCATGCCAGGCAGATAGCTGCTTTCCTCCAAAGACATGCAACATGCCAGTCCTGTATTCACGATAGTTTGTTACTGTGAGTGTTCTCTTAGGAGATTTTCTTGCCTTCAGTACTACAAGCTGAGGAGCACGCTGGCTTCCTTATGAGGGGTGAAAGGTTTACACCTGTAGAGGAACATCAAGACCTGAAGTTTTGTTACTTGCCAGTCAGACAGTAGAATCTGCAGGTTTCTTTGTGGGGAAGTCAGAGCTTGTAGTATACGGGAAATCAACCTACCCAGGTATCCTGCATCAGCTGAATGCTCCAGAAATGTTCAGCCAGCTCGAGGCATAACCCTGCAGGCAGCTTTGGGGAAACATTCTTCTCAGCTTTATCTTTCTAGAAAATGGAATTTCTGCAGTTTGTTTCTATTTTGCTAGAATGAGTGGTGCTGTGAAGGTGACTCTCCATCTTACTTGTTTCAGATGCTGCAAAGCTGTCAGGAAACGATAGAAAAGTTGGGAAGTCAGCTGGGAGAGCGCAGAGAATGGAGGAAACAACTTGCATCTGAACTTGAGCTGTTAAGAGAAGATCTGAAGGCTGAGAAGAAGGTACTGAGCAGCCAGATGTGTACCAGCTACAGGTTTGCACTGGTCTCCCAGGAAGAATGGTGTGAAATTCTAGTTTGGGAAGTGGGCAGTGCTCTTCCAGAAGGATCTGCATGTAGTTCCTGAAGTGGGACTCCCTGCAGGGGAGGGATGCCTTTCTGACTCCATAAAACATCCATGGTTGCCCTTCGGTGGCGTTGCTTGAATTCTCCTGACCCTTTTCTCTAGTCCAGTGGGTTTCAAAGGTTTTTTTGGCAGCTGGTTTTAAATCCAGCTACTTTAAGGGGACTGTCTCTAACTCCAAAGTGCTGCTGCTATTGCTGAGTGCTTCAGGGCACACTTCACTGGAGGCTGACTGGGGAGCTCAGCATGGGCAGGTTAGGTGCTGAAAACTAAGAGCTGCAGATCTGCAGCCTGGGTCAGACAGAAGATAGGACCCGAGGGAGGCTGGCAAGGAGTAGTGGTGGTTGCATCTATTACAAAGATATTCTTCCCTCCCTGGGTGACCTTAAACCAGCTGTGAGTCATAATCACTTCGTTAAACATAAATAGAAACCAGTGGAGGTCTGAACAGTTGGTGGAACTGCACACACACCACAGCCTTACTGGAGGAATGGTGTCACCTAGAGGGCAGCTCTTTCCTAGTGCTGTTAGAAGCTCACCTTACAGACCAGACCTTGCTGAGAAGTAGCTTAGAAAGTAGCTGGGTCACTCTGTATGTCAACTTATGAAAGGTGCTGTCAGGTTTGGACATGATGGGAAGGCAGGAGGAGCCACTCTAACCTCTGCATCCCAATAGTTCCATCCACTCGTCATCTAGGGACCTTGTGATGAAAGTCATCTGTCCTTGTAAGTTTGTGGTTCTGCTTAAGCTGCAGAGGAAACTATTTCTCTGTCAAAGGGATGATAAAGTGAAATCCAATGGCCTGTGTTGGGCTGGTAGGTAGTAAGTGTTTTTCAAGTGTTTGGTAGGACCCTTGACTTCACAGATGCATTAAATTCTCTTTTTTTTAGAGCAATGATAGTGGGATAAATCATTTTCCAGCAGGATGCTGGGAGTGAGCTCTCCATCAGGACAGTAGGCTGTCCTGATTAATACACATCTGAATGTCAAGACTTGAAGTTGTTCAGTGTTTTGCCAGATGCCCAAAACACAGCAAATTGGTCGGTTCTCTTGTTCTTGTAGGTTTTAATAATGACCATGTAAGAAATGTTCCAAGAATTGATGCTCTACAAAGAGCATTTACATTTATTAGAACTTCTTTTTTTCCCTTGGTTTTAAGAGACTTCTGGATGTTGCAGAGGAGAAAGCACTTTCTCTGAGCTTATAATTAGGGGTGGTTTATTACATTGCTAACTCCTTTCTTCAACAGGACTTGCCTAACACAAAACCAGAGCTTAAAAGCCAGAGTGTCCAAAGAACTTCAGCAAGCAGAGATTTCATTAATGCTTCCCACGAGAGGCTACAAAAAGATAATGCTCTACTAGAAACAGAGGTGAGAAGTGTAAAGGAATTGCCATCGTTCTAGTGTCTGATGCATGTAGAAGCTGCATGTTTGCCTTGCTCAATATAAATAAATGCATCTGTGTGTAGATGAGACCTGGAATCAAAATATTGGTGCTAGCATACACTCAGGAAGCATTGCTTTGGATTTGGTCTCACCAGTGTTTAGCAGATACACCAGACTAGGCAGATGCTTGTTCCAATCCAGTTGAGAGTTCTGTGTTCCTTATCCCTTCTTTTCTTGCCCCTTCTGCTTCCTGTGCATGTTTGTTCTGTGTCCTGGGTTTTGGGTCTGCCAGTGCTGGGTGTTAAGGCAAAGATAACATTGGAAGTGGAGGGCAGGCATCCTAAGCAAGCTGGTTTGGGTTGATTTGAATGGAGGAATACATGCCTTGTACTTCTGCTGGTTTTTTTGCAAGCTGCTTTGTAAGCTACAATTTTGTAAAGAAAGATGGCACATGATGTAATGCACTGAGAAATACAGATAGCCAACAGGAGGGTGAAATTAGATAAAGCAATGGGATTTGGTGATAGCTGACACACAGCTGCCTCCCATGCAGATCTGTATGCGTGTCTTCATGGGTGAAGAGCTGCAGAACGGTGAGGCCAAAGAAAATGAGTGGTGGTGTTTTCTGACCTTGCAGGTCTCTGAGCTTGTCCGAGAAAATGAGCAGGTTAACAAACTTCAGCAGCAACGGGAAGATGTGAGTATGGATGGAAAGGCGTATGAAGAGCAGATGGCTAAAGTGGTGTTTTTGGAAGAGCAGATCCGGAACCTGACAGATGAACAAGAACAGCTCTGGTAAACCCTAACAAGGGCTGTGGTGCTTTTTGCCTCTCACCTGTGCTGGCTGATGGTGTAGTCTTTTGAAAACTTCATGCCCTGTTTCTTTTGGGAGGAATGGCCACAGCTGTTTGTGTCTTTTTTAAGATAGTGGGTAATCAGCTTTCTGAAGAGAGTTTTGGTCAATAAGCACCTCCCTCAGCAAATCCAGGATAAGATGTAAGTTAGCTCATTGGGACACACAGTTTGGATCAGGATAAGTCAGACGGATGGCTTAGGTGGGGTGTGAGCCCCTACTTCCATACAGCAGGTCACAGTGTGAGTGTTCCTGGGCTGCTTGTGAGTCTAGCTCATACAGACCCACACAAGTGCTTCTTTACCTAGTTATGTTAACCTAGTAATGAATGACTGGGAACTCACCATTTGGATACACACCTCTTGTGGATCGGTGTCTGTGGGAGCCTGACTCTTATCCAGAACTGATAGACCCAGGATTAAATCCCCTTTAAAACCTCCAGAGAGCCTTGGGTATTGCCCAGAGCACTGCACGAGGTTCTCATAGCCCTGAGAGACTGATTTCCCTCAGATATATATAGTTACCACTTTCCTGTGCTATTTCTTCTTCAAGTTCTGAATTACTTGAAAGCAACAAGAAGAGGGAGGAGCTAGAAAAGCAGCTGAAGGAGAGCAATGAAGAAAAACAGTCACTGATGGAAAAAATTGCCCAGCTAAAGCAAGATATCCTGACTACCAGGGAGCAGCATGAAAACACATTTGAGGAGGCTTTGAGGATGAATCAAGGCATGGTCCATAGAGACAACAGGCTTCTTATGTCACAGAGCTCTGCAGGCAGTTTAGATGGGAGCATCAAACAGGTATGGGCAGCTTTGCCATCTGCACTCTACTTTTTTCACTAATTTAGTAGCAAAATGGGAGCAGAAGCCAGTCGTTGAAGGGCTGCAGGACCGACAGAAAGGGAGAGCTGAGACACCAATTTCCTTGGGTATGGTGCTTGGGAATGTGCAGTGTCATCATGTCCCTCTGTTACGTTTTTAGACGTAATGGGAAGAAGAGATTTTGAAGACATCCAGGATGGAGAGTTTTAAGATAAGCAAGGATTATGTGCAGGGGTTTGGAAGAGATTTGTGGACAAGAGGGCCTGCAGGCAAGAGTGAAAGCAGAAAAGAGAATCAGAGCTGCAGTGATACCAAGACACGTCCCATCTGTACAGTCAGAGCAGGTTGTGACAGCAGAGAAAAGCATATGGTTTGCCAAAGCAGGTTAGAAGATGTAGGGAGGGTGCTGAAAGAAATCTTCATAGGAGCAGATGGGGAAACAAATCCGTAAGTGATGAGAGCCCTAAAAAGGGGTTCCCAGCCAGCTGGGCATCGGCATGGGGAGGTACTGTTGATCTTCAGTGGATTTTGTTTGGTCCCAAGAGCAGAGGGTGAAAGTGGGAAGTGAGAATGCAGATCAACAGGTGGCTGAAATTGATGCTGGGAAGAAGGATTTTGATAAAGCAGATGTCGAAGGAGCTTTTAGTTTGTGTACAGTGCTCTTGCAAGGCTGAAGAGCTTAATTAACTTCTTAAAACTCCTGTAAATCTGTTTGCCTGTAACAGAAGTGGGGGACTGCCCTGTGGTGTCCAGGCTGCTGTGGCAGTGTGTTTGTCCCTGTACTGCTGCCAGCACTCACTTTGTGGATCTGGTTGTCACCTGCACTTAGAGACTGTCACAGAACCGTGGATGCTGTCAGAAATCACTTCGGATCTGAGTTGTTTTGCTTTTGTTTGCCAGGTTAGTTTTAACAGGGATTTGTTTCCTGATTCTTGTTGTTCCTCTGTTCCTGCAGAGTATATCTGAAGAGAGATTCCAACAGCAGGAGGAAAGGCTGCAGCAGCTGCGACACGACCTGCGTCGGGTGCAGAACTTGTGCAGCTCAGCTGAGAGGGAACTGAGATACGAAAGGGAGAAAAACATTGACTTACAAAAGCAAAACCTCTTGCTTCAGCAGGAATGCACCAAGGTAGGAAAAGAGGGGGGAGAGGAAGGCATTGTGTTATTTCACAAACTATGGGAGGTCTGAAGTGGCTGATTTCAACACACTGGATCTGATTTGCGTTCTTGTCTGGGCTGGTGAATGTTGGGGTCTGCTAATGTCTTGCTCTCACTCCAGTTTTCTCTCATGCATGCACTGTCTCCAAATAAAGCATGGTGTACTTGCTTGCTGTATTTAGCTTTTGTTCTTGTTCAGTAGCTGGTAATCCTGTTGTCCAGATTCTATATACTGAAGTGCAAACTTGATTTCTTTTTCTTTTGAAACTCAGGTCAAAGCTGAACTGAAGCAAGCCCGGACAAAGCTCTTGGACACAACTGAAACGTGCTCCTCTCTGTCAGCAGAGTGGGAGAAGAGCCAGCAGAAGGTCAAAGAACTCGAACAAGAGCTCTTGAAGTGCTCCAAGGCTGAGAAATTGCAGAGCGGTCTGCAAGAGAAACTTGTTCAGGAGAAATCCAAAGTGTACGAAGCACAAAAACAGGTAACTCATCAAGGTGGACTAACTTAACATCAGCGATGATCTAGCAGTTATGTGTGGCTGTAGTTCAGAAGAAGATGCAGTAGCAGCTCATGAATCAAGTTCCAGAAGTGCACTTCACTAGGGTGAGATTGCCTGAGAGGCTGACTATGTATTTTAGAAGACACGTCAGTCATGAATGGGAGCATAATTAAGGCAATAGAAGGCAAATTGGTTACCTTAACTCCTGTCTCTAAAGCTCAGTGTTTCAGAGCATACTGCTGGGATGCAGGCAGGTGTAGGGAGCTTGGATTGTGCTCTCACTGGCAACTCTTGCCACTATTTGCAGCCTGGTGAGTTGCAAAAACTCCGATTTTTTTTTTATGGTATTGATTCCTGCACTGATTGCTGGATTTGGTTTTGAAGTGTGCAGGATCACATTAAGTGTAAAAAAGATTGTTGCTAATTCATGCCATGGTATCTGACCCAAAATCTGATAGTCATTGGAAAGAATTTGCTTTTAGTGAGTGCTCTTTGACACAAAGAACTGCAGAAATGAGCATGTCTGCGTAGAAGCAAGCAAATCTTCCTTTCCTGTGACTCCTTTGATTCCAATACCAGCTCGTTAAATTTGAAAACTTTAATCTATGTTCAATTTTAATCGGAGCTCTCAAAGATCCAGCAAAAGCTGAAGGATTCACAGCACCAACTCCTGCTAGCAGAAGCCCGTGTTTCTGACAAGAAACTCCTGGAGGAGGAGCTGAAGGAAGCTCGAGAAAACGAAGCTCGAGTGCAGCAAGAGCTCCGTGAGGAGCTGCTGAAAAGGTACACAGAGCTGGGGAAGATGCACAGCATTCCCTCTTTATGAAGCATAAAAGATTGGTGGGGGTTTCGACTGACTCAGAAGGCGCACCAGCCTTCCTTCCAGCCCAGTAATTTGATGCAGTGCTAGTTTACCTCTAGGTGCCAGCACTGTTGGTCCAGCTGCATCGCAGCACAGCTCTGTTCACACAGGGTTTGATGTTCCCAGTCACAGCACTCAACTTTTGGCGTGGCACTGGGACACGGGGACATCCAGGACACTCTGATTTCTTTCTGCTCCCCAAGTTGTCTGGTCTAGATGCAGCGCACTGCGTTGTTTTTAGACCTCACAGTGGCACATGGTGAGATGATCTCAGTGTCAGCGTCTCACTGTCACACCAATGTGCTTTTAGGAAGCTCCTGGAGCAGCAGGTGGAGGAACTGCGGCAGCAGCTGCGGCATTCCCATGAGACAGAGGTATCACTGGCCAAGATGCACGTGGAGCTGCAGGCCAAGACTCTGCACGCCTTGGAAGATGACAAAAAAACTGACTCAGGCGAGGTGAGCTGCAGCACACTCATGTCCTCATCACCCAAGGTGAGGCTGAGGAGCAGAGTGGATGGGACTGGTGATGGAGAAGCTTTGGAGACCAGACTGAAAGGAGGCGGAGAGCCCCTATGGCTGAAGGATGCACAAAAATAGAAAAACTATTTGTTTTGCAGCACCTTCAGTGTCAAAAGGAGAGCCAGAAGCTTTCAGAGCAACTCTCGCTACTGAAGGAGGAAAACAAGGCTCTTTATGAGGAAGGAGTCCGTCTCCTGAACCAGAAGGATCTATATGTCAGGTAAAGATTTAAGTGGGAAGGGATGTGAAGTCAAAAAAAAACACACAAAAACAAAAACCCAACACACAAAACTACCCAGGAGCTGCTCTTTATTTGCCTAATATGATACTGGATTTGACTGTTCTGCAGCCTTTCATGTCTCTCCTGCTTAGGACACATAGCACTGAGAGATGTCTTAACCCAGGGAGGGCTAACCCAGAAGAGATAGGGCTGGGATTTGTAAAGCTGGGAGTCAGTTTGGGGGATACTTTGGGTCCTTTCCCCAATCAATTTCCACTTGGTTGATGCTTAATGAAGTCTTGCAAGAAAAAAACAAACAACCAAATGGTCAGACACAACAGTAAAAGATGCAGTCTAGAAGATCAGTGCACTCATTCTGCCTTCAGCTGTGTGGACAAACAGAGCTTGGTAGATGGCTGCAGCTCCTGGTTCAGGTTTTAAGATGCCTTTGTAAATGCAGAATGTATTCTGCCTCATTTTTGGTTTAAAACACAAAAGGGTTTCACATCTTTGTGCCTCCTCAGGAAATATAATGAAATGCAGCTCCGCCACAAAGACAAGATCCGCAGAGCCAAAGCAACGTTTATCCATGAGGTGAAACAAAGGGACAGCAGAATTAAGCAGCTTGAAAATGAGCTCAGTGAGTCAAAACTCCAGGTGGAAAAGGTAAAAGAACTCATCGGGGGCTTTGCCCACAGTGAAGGCAGGGAAAGCTGAATGCAGAGTAGCTCTTCTCCTTAGAAGGAGATTGCCGCAATAAGCTTTGCAGAGCACCTCCAGCAGAGGTGGACTTGCCTTGCAATGGTACACAGGGAGTCTTGAATAGTTAGAGCTGATGGTGTAAGAGCCACTTCTAGCAAACTTCCTTGAAAGGGACAAAGCCCTGAGAAAGGCACTTTGGTGCCTGTGGTGTATTGGGAGAGGCTGTGATGTTTAGAGAAGATAGAGAAGAGCAAACCGTAACTTCTGGTTGTTTCCTTCTGCAACGGTGCTCAGGGGAAGGCACTGATTGCACAGATCACTACTGAGAATGAGAAGTTACTCCAGGAAAGAAGACGGCTCCTCCAGAGGATAACTGATCAAGAGGAGACCCCTTGGAGCAACAGGGCTATGGTTGCTGCCCTGCAGAGCAGGTGAGCACCTAATGATGTCTTAGTGGGATGCCCCTAGGAGCCTGCCTCATCCTTGCATGTCTGCAACTATGCTTTCTATGAAGAAATCTTAATTTTGCCTGGCGGAAAGCCTGAATTGTGTCTCGTTCATTAGTGCTGGGGCTGTTGATTGCTGTGGGATATAATTAGGCCCTCTGCCCAGCAAAACTCTTGGCGTACAGCTGAAGTCCATGGAGCCAAAAGATCTGAAGTTGAAAAAGGAAAGGTCCTTTAGGAAGCATAATGGGGCTAGAAGGGAAATAACCTGTGCCGTGTTTGTGCAACACACCCAGAATGAAGATCCTGGATGAGGAGAACATGAGGCTGCATGAGAGCAAACTCCATCTCTCTGGCCATGTGCAGCCCTCGCAGCGCGCGCTGAGGAGCATCCACACTCCCAACACAGAGGTGAGATCCTCTGGGCTGTCCTGATCTCAGCAGACAGGTGGTGGGAGCTGATGTCCTGCTGGGAGAATCAGTGTCTGTAGCTGCAGTTGAAGTGCCAGAGAAGGGCTGAGCCAGTCCTTTCCTTTGGATGGAAAGGAGATGCCAAGCATGCAGCAAACTGCAGTGGCTTGTTGGTGAGAAGGAACTTCTAGGGTAGCTGGTATGGTGCTCGGATTATTATCTGGTCCTGCTTGTTAAGCAATGAACTTAGGATGAGAAGTCCAAGGGTGATCAAAATATCCCTTTGAGGTACTGGTGAAGAGATCAGGAGCACAGGTAGCATTCTCTAACAAAAAAAGCTTTTCCAAGCATGTTACCAGCAAAAGGAGGACTAAAGAAAACATTGGTCTGGTGACCAACCTCATTGAACATCTCACAGAGATGAAGATGAAGCAGAGACATTTAATGCCTTCTTCACCTCTGTATTTAACACCAGTGATGGGTCCTGGGATCTCCAGAGCCCTGAGCTGAAGGACTGCAACCAGGGGGAATGAATGATGAATCCCAAGTTGACTTTGAACTTGTATGGGATTTGCTGCTAGAACTGAAACTAATTTGGTTACAAATGAAAAAGGGTACTTTCAGGACCTGGTTGTGCAGTCCATTGTGTTTTCTTTCTTTCTGGTTGTTTGACCCGGGCTTTGGGGTTTGTTGCTTTTATGTTAAGGTTCAGACTCAAAGGACAGATTTATGCTTAGTCTAGTTTAGTTTAGCACTGTAGAGCTGGGAAACCTGCACTGGAGTGGGGGATACCTTCAGGTCCAAGGCTGTACATTGAAATTCAGGGTTTGACATGCACCTCCCCCTTTGGAAGTCTGTGTTTGTCGTTCCAGGACTTGAAGAGTGCCAACTTTTCTGAACGACAGCTACAGAGTAAGGTGTTGGCGTCGTCTCCCCGTGCCAGGTATTGTGGGGTAAAATGAGAAGGAAGGGGACTTCTCCTTGCATGTGACAAGGCAGGAATTGAGCATTTGGGCTCAGCCATAGTCCTGTGCTGCCTCACAGAGGTGCACTGTAGTTGTGCAGGTGGCAGGAAATCAGATAATGCTTTAAGAATGACTTAAGAGCGGAAATGTGTTTTCAGTTTCCCACCACGAGAACCACCAGACTCCCTGAGCAGCCTGAAGCCTGTGCACGATGCCAAGCCTGAAGGAGGAGCTGAGAGCCAGGATTCATCCTTTTGCTTATCCCCCTCTCAGCCTTCAGAGATTGGGTACCTGAATGTAGCCTCACCTGGAGACACCACAGCCTCCCAGTTGCAGGAGGAGAGTCAGAGCATCAGCTCTGAGAACTTCTAACCTGGGAAAGACATTTGTAAAGTACAGACTGGTAGGGCTGCCAGGATTTGGGCTCCAGTTGCCATCCAGCATTAAGGATTGCAAGAAGGAATGTTGCCAAATGACTTGCTTGGTGATTTCTGTGGTAACTAAATTATTCAACAGCTTTTTTTTTAATTAGCCAACACTAAATGTGTGCGTGTCATCTCAGACCTACCCGGAGGCTGGAATTTCCAGACAAACTCAATACAATAGAAGAAGAGGGGGTGGGGTGAGACACGTGTTTTCCTGAATCCAAATTCCCTGCAAACATTGTAAATAAAACTTGGATTTTCCTGTGCTTGGCTGTGCATCCATGTTTCTCCATTCCCCTCTGTCTGTGCTCAGGTTCTGCTTGCTTTGGCATGCTCTTACCTCTCACTTCAGCTCTGTGCAAGCATAGGGAGGGGGACAGGAGGGGTCTGAGGTTTGGAGGGAAATAACTTTTACAGGGGGAGGAATGGAGGGCATCTGAGCACTGTATGGGTAGTGAGAAGGGCCATTGAAGGAGGAGGAAGGAATTTGGCTGCAGAGGGAATGGGGAGGGAGCTCTGAGTGCAAGGAGGAGGGGAAAAGGAATCAGAGCAAAAAGGGTGATGGAGGGGCTGAAGAAATGGAATTTGGAACACAGGTGGTAAAAGGAGGGTATCTAAATCTGCAGAGAGGGAAATAGAGTAGATCTGAATGCTCACAAGCAACAATGGAATGCACCCATGGATAGGTGGGAGTGGAAGGAGCAGATTGTGCACAGGGAGTGGGGAGGGGATCTGTGTATGCAAAGAGGGAGGCAGAAAAGTTTGGGGCAGGTGCTGTGAGAGAGCAAATGGGATCCTGGGCTCCATCAGAAGAGGGGTGGCCAGCAGGGACAGAGAGGTGATTGTTCCCCTCTACTCTGCTCTTGTGAGGCCCCATCTGCAGCACTGCATCCAGGTCTGGAGCCCCCAGTACAAGAAAGACAGGGAGCTGTTGGAGAGGGTCCACAGGAGAGCCACAAAGATGAGCAGGGGCTGCAGCACCTCCCCTATGAAGACAGGCTGAGGGAGCTGGGCTTGTTCAGCCTGGAGAAAAGAAGGCTGTGAGGGTGAGCTCATTGCAGCCTTCAGTACCTAATGGGAGCCTACAAACAGGAGGGGAATCAACTCTTTGAAAGGGTAGATAACTGCAGGACGAGGGGAAATGGTTTGAAGTTGAGGGAGTGGAGGTTTAGGTTGGATGTCAGGGGGAAGTTCTTTGCTGTGAGAGCGGTGAGGTATTGGAACAGCTGCCCAGAGAGGCTGTGGATGCCCCGTCCATCCCTAAGGTGTTCAGGTCCAGGCTGGATGGGGCCCTGGGCTGCTGTGAAATGTGGAGGTTGGTGGCCCTGCATGTGGCAGGGGGTTGGAGATCTGTGATCCTTGAGGTCCCGTCCAACCCTGGCCAGTCTGTGATTCTGTGAGTGGGGATGAAAAAGATCTGAGCACAGGGGGATGAATGGCAGTCACTGCTGGAACCGAGCGAATCGAAGCACGCGGAGGAGGGGATTCATCGTCTGTGAGGATCTCAGCCCTCGTCTGAGCACAGTAACGCCGTTCGATGGAGCAGCGCTGAGGGCGGACGCGGCGGCCCAGAGCGCCGTTAACCTTCCCGGCGGAATTCAGCACGGCGCGGTGAGGGTGAGGCTGCCGTCGTGTGGCTGACGGGGAGAGAGGTAGGCAAAAAGCAACGAGAGACCCGCGGATCCGTTCAGGTTATCGGGCTCCGCGCGCTGCTTTGCTCTCGTTGCCGTCAGGTGCCTCAGCAGCCGCCCGCCGCTCCCGGCTCCCCTCCCGGCCGGCCCCCAGCCCGCGCTGTGACTCGCAGGACGGCGGGCGCTACAACGGCAACGCAGCGCCGTCACGTGACGTGTGCTACGTGATGACGTCACACGCACAACAGCCCTCCCGCTCGAGGGCGCGTAGCTCCGCCCCTCCGCTCCGCTTCCGCTTCCGGGTGAGGCGGCCGTCATGTCGGTGCTGGCGGCCAACCCCAACAACCCCGTGGTGTTCTTCGATGTCACCATCGGCGGGCAGGTGGGCGGCGGGAGCTGCGGGCCGCCGCGCTGCGTGCCCTCGGGCTGCCCTTCTCTGGACCGGCCGAACCGCGAGGCCGCAGCCGCTCTCCACGCGCTGCTCCCTGCGGGCCGTTCCTCGTCCCCTCGGTGCGCTGCGGGTTGCGTGGCTTCTCGCGGCGGGGCGGCGGTGGGAGCTGCGCGGGGGCGGGGGGAGCGGAGCGGCGCGGGCTGAGCCGGCTGCTGTCTCTGCAGGAGGTCGGCCGCATGAAGATCGAGCTGTTTGCTGACGTCGTGCCCAAAACCGCAGAGAACTTCAGGTGAGGAGCAGCCGCGTCACCGCGGGCTCGGCCCGGCGCCCTGCCTGGGAGCGGGCCGCGAGGGGCGTGCGGGGGTGTGGTGGTGTCAGCGATCACCGCACCCGCTTCAGTTCTGTGTCCCCATGGTGCTGCCCGTGCATCACCGGGTCCGTCTCACCTGAAGGAGAAAGACTGTGGCCCCTCTCTGCTTCCTCTGTGGAGTTTCTGATACGCTCAGTTCATAAAGGCAATGCTTTCTTGTCGTGGTATAAACCTCCTTGCCACCTATCGCTGTCTGACAGCAGAATGTACCACCTGGACATTCTAGTTCCAGGGAGGTGAACGTAGCCTGCCCTCTGTGAGACACGGTGCCCTGCTCCACGCTTTGGGATTGGTTTTATTTAACAGGTTGTTAAATACCCAGACGTTCTCAGTATCTTCTCAAAACTCCATTTTCAAATGGAAGCATTGAGTGGTTATCAATGATTCTTGTTTCAGCCCCGCTGGAATAAGCCAAGTCCTGCACGGCATTCAGTGCACGTTTGCTGAATGCCACCCTTTGTGTCCTCAAAATTCAGAAGTGATTTATGCTTGGCTTTTCTGTGTTTTTTCTTTTCCAGGCAGTTTTGTACAGGTGAATTCAGGTATGCAAATTATTTTCTCCTTTTACCTGCCATTCTCAGACACTGGGCTGGGTGGTTGGGAAGATGACCCACTTGGAAGTTTTCATCACTGTACCTCTGTGAAATGGAAAAGTTCCAGAAATCTGCTGTGATGAAAGCACAACTGGCTCAGTGAGTCACAGAAGTGGCAGTCTTCTCCTTTTGGGCACAAATTTAGTCATACTCTTGTTGTTCTAAAAATGCCTTCTCTGCAAAAAAAAAAAAAAAAAAAAAAGGGGGGGGGATGCAGCACATTGTGGCACAGATGTCCATACTGCAAATCACAGTGGGATTCTGTTCAGATGATTAAATGCATGTTGCAGACAGCCCATTTGAGGTTTCCCTTGGCCTCTGGTAGCATCAGTCCAAAATTAGGATCCAGGATGGGCTCAAGGAGGTGGGTTGGTAGGTGATATATTAAGCCAGCTCCTAATGTACGGGGCAACCCTTGGGAGGTTTTTGTGTTGGGATTTCCAATGAGTTGTAATGATTTTTCTTTTTATTTCCTTGTAGGAAAGACGGTGTCCCTATAGGTTACAAAGGAAGCACTTTCCACAGGTGGTACTTCTGCTTTTGTTTGGAGATTTAATAGCACTAGGTGGCTTTGAGACCTGCCTCAAGGGTGTAGCTTCTGCTGTCTGCCCTTTGGGTGCTGTTAAATACTGTTAATGCTCTCTGTAGACTGTAGCGTTCACAGACATTCGCAAGGCATTTTTCTACAGGGAACTGAGTATTGCTTTACTTTTTCAGGGTAATAAAGGATTTCATGATCCAAGGAGGTGACTTTGTAAACGTATGTGCTATTTCATTGCTTTTGTCTTTTTCTTATGCTGTACAGCATGCAGCTCATCCTTCCCCATGTTTTCTCTCTCTGACAGCATGACATTATAGCTAGGGGCTTTTCAAACTTGCAGAGGTTTTTTTTTTCCACTCTGTTGTCTTTCCTGTTTCTCCTTTCCCCCCAGTAAGAGGCAGAGATCTCACACTGTATGTGTGAGAAGAGATGCTTAAGTACACAAACCAAGAATCTATTCCAAAAGATTATTTTGAATCAAGTCAGGCTTAATAAAGAAAGCGCATGTTAAATGGAAAGGCAATAGAGGGAGACAGGCTGCAGACAGAGTAAATGGGGCTGAGATTCATGATCCTTGAGGTCCCTTCCAACTCTAGCCATTCTGTGATTCTGTGATAAATTTACCTGACTGTGCTGGACATATCTGTTTGAATTGCTTCTGCAGCTTTGTCTGAAAGGTTCCTCGCTGCCATTGTGCTGAAGGGTCTCAGTCCTTTTGGCAATGCACAGGAGTCTTTCTGCAGTTCAGCAGTTATGGGCCACACTTCTGTGATTTATAAATGAGGTCTGAGTGCTTGTGCTTGTAGTAAGGGCAAGGTATGTTGACTTGGAGGAAAGGAATGAAACATCTGAATGTGTTCACACTGGTATATATAATGGCAGTGCAGCATCTCTTTTGGGCTGAGTTTAGCACTGTGATTTTGCTTAGTTATTTCAAGTTCATGCACAGAACTAATGCTGTGGCTGACTAATTGCCTGTCTTGTGCAGGGAGATGGCACTGGAGTAGCCAGTATATATAGGGGTCCTTTTGCAGATGAAAACTTCAAGCTGAAACACTCTGCTCCTGGCCTGCTTTCTATGGTAAGTATAAAATGAAGACTGATAGCTTTTGGTATTTTCTCTCTGTCTTTTTCTTAAATGTATAAATTGTGTTTGACAAGACAGTAGGAATCTGTACAGTTGGATGGAAAGTGTGAAAGACCTGTGTTGTAAGTACCAGTTGGAAAGTTGCTTATGAATTGAGCAACACAGGAGTCCTCATCCTCCAGCCTCCTTTCTCCTTACCTGTTGGAGTTCAGGAACATGTTTTGTTTGCTCAGCTTTCAGAATAACTTGACAATTGCAGATCTTGTACAGTGATGAGTGAAGGTCTTTTTCTTCCCTTATACTTTTGTTGAACACTGACCTGAGTGAGGAGAAAACAAAGACTTTGGAGTTTCAGAGTCATAGCAGTGTTACTGTGGTATCTTTTATAACATTTTTTCCCCAGTGTGATGTTGTAGCCACTAAAGATGTTGTTGTGTACTTGCACAGAGCAGTAGGACCTGACTTGATAAGCACCATGTCCAAGTACAGGTGCTCTCCTGCAAATGTCTGTCTTGTTTCCTTTGGTTTATGAAGCAATAAGCTTAATAAAAGGCAGCTAGGCCATTTCTAAAGCAACAGCTCTTTCCACTGTGAGATATCTCTGCCTTCAGCTTTGGGAAGTCCTAATTTGTAATGCTTTGCATTTTGACTTTTTTAACCTGCAGGCAAACAGTGGTCCAAGTACTAACGGGTGTCAGTTTTTCATCACGTGCTCCAAGTGTGACTGGTTGGATGGAAAACACGTTGTGTTTGGTGAGTACCTGCCACGCAGGCCTGGCATACAGACTCTTGGACAGTTTCTATGGCACAGCTGCTGAAATAACAGCTGTGGACTGCTTTTCCTTCCCCATGCATTGTGCCAGCAGAGGTATTTGTGCAGCCAGTTATTGAGATGCATCATTAGAAACATTTTTTTCTCAGCTTAACTTTAATCCAGATCAGATCCTTGATCATTGTATCACTGTTAGTACATAAATCCTCGTGACCGTGCAGATGGGATAAAGGATGAAGGGATACCTTTCTACTCCACTGTCAGAGTGGGGCTGGCATGCAAATGTAGTTTTCAGCTGTTTGTAGGTATGAGATGTGCTGTCAGAGGATGACTGACTTAAGGCCAGACCTTAAGCTCTTGTCCTGCTCACTTTTATCAGTTTAGGGAGCCATGTCCAGGGCTCTTCAGGAGGAACAGGAATTATGTGTGTTGGGGAAGGCAGCAAAGGTTAGAACACAACACTGAAGCGGATACGTTTCTCATTTTAGGTAAAATCGTTGATGGGCTGTTGGTAATGAGAAAAATTGAAGTAAGTGGAATTTGCCTTTTTTCTCTGTGAAATCTGTATTGGAAAGTCATGGGAGGGCAACAGTGGTTATTCTGTTCTCTCCTGTTTATTGAATACCAGGGAATATCACTGACAATAACTGGTGTTATCAGTTGTCTTCACTGTAAGATAATAGGAAATCCGTTGTGACAAAGTCTGTCATTCACATTGACTTTGGAAATGCTGTGCTCCCATGGTTGCTGGTTAGGCTTTGAGCAGGGATTTTATTCTCCTAGCTTGATTTGCAGTGCTTTGCATTTGTTCAGGAAGCTCAATTGAGAAGCTGTTCCATCAGACAGGAGTGTAAAGCAGATCACTTCCGTGCCACTGCCTAGTATTATTCAGTGGGTGTTAAGTCATCAGTTCTGCTGATCTGTGATTGGCATATCTAATTAGAAAAGTTAAACCAATCTTTTGATGAGCTGCCAGGATAATATGTTCTGATAAATAGGAGTACACCATGACTGGGTGTCATGAGCAGGTTCAACAAAGAGCAGTTACTGACATCATGGCACACTCCCTTTTGGGTTGGGAAATGTGGCATGAGGGCCTCTGCCATCAGAGAATGCAAAAAGCAGAGCTGCCAACCATTAGCTATCTCCGGGTTTGCTGTTTTGATGAGATGTAATGTTATATATCCATCTGTCCCCAGAATGTGCCCACAGGACCGAATAACAAACCCAAGCTGCCAGTTGTGATCTCTCAGTGCGGGGAGATGTAAAGCAGTGGAGTAGGAATGGGGTAAGTCTCAGATTTCTGAGGCATCCACTGCAGCTGAACAGTGGGTTTCTGTGCTCTTCACTTCTCTCTTGACTTGTTTTCACATTCGTGTGAGCTTGCAGAAAGTTGGCTCACTGAACCATCACAAAATGCTGCTCTAATAGCATGATTTTTTTTACCAGCCCAACTCCCTGAAGCAGTTTCCCTTCAAGCTACATAAAGACCAAAGGCAGCACTAAAGGAAAATGATTTTGTGTCTGCAGTCAGAGGGAAGACGGGGTCAGCCCTGCCTTGCATGGGGTTAGGTTGCCTTGAAGCCTCAGCTTCAGAAAGCAGTGGATGAAAAGGGATCTGCAAGAGGAATTCAGCTGGTGTTACTCAGGCAGGAGGGAGTGGACAGGTCATTTAACCTGCAGCTAAGTGCTCTCTCTTATTGCTACAGAAAGCAGAGCATCCATGTGTGGTGCAGGCAGGGATCAAGAGTAGTGCTGCAGAAAGAGAGGACTTAAGCCTTCCTGCTCACTGCAGCCATAGGGCAGCCAGCATGGGAGGGCTGAGGAATTGCTGTGTTACAGAGCCTAACCTTAATTGAGAAGAACACCACTGTCCTCATGCAAAGGGAAATGTTTCCAGCATTACCCAGGCTTCATTTTGCAAAATAGGTGCAAGGCTGAACTCAGACTGACACAGAGTATTCTGTTTGCAATTTTCACTATAAAAATACCACAAGCATTCAAGCAAATCTGACCAGATTTCAATATGTCAGGCTGCAGCTTATCAGAAATCTGCTGTATGAGCTGTTTGGTTGCTGACTTTTCAAATTTCAGCAGGCAGGCACTGACAAAAGCACTCCACACAGTTCTTAACCTTCCTTTATATGATTTCCAAAGATGTCTGAATTACCCATGAAGACACATCCCTGCTGGCATGGTAAAGCCTTTCAGATTTACTGTGCTTCAAATGCTTCAGTGTGATGAAGGGACAATATGGAATACAGTCACTCGGTACTTCTGCTGGCATTTATAGGCTTTTGGAGATGGAGGGCAGCTTTGTTAATAGGCTTTCTTGCTGATGGAAAGAGCTGTGCTGATGCGTTGTGTCCCCTTCAGGGCTGCCCTCAGGCCCAGACCTTATTGATCATTTTTCTTTGGAGCCTTTATGTACAATCTCTAGTCAATATTCAGCTGGATATCTTCAGTTCTAGGCATCTGCTTTCTTCCTAGCCAGGTCTTAGGAAACATCTTTCTGCACACTGCTGCCTTTCAGCTACCTCTTGACAGGAATGGGGTTCATCTCCCTCACCTTCAGACAGTTAAATGAGTTATTTGTAAAGATCCTTTAAAATCAACCTGGAGAAACAGGCAGTGTTGGTTATAAATCCAGAGCCAGACACAGGTGCCTGGAGTGGAGACTTGTTTGAGATGAGCTGGTGCATGCAGCAGGTAGTACCCACTTCAGCACCCAGTGCTGCTGTTGTAGGATGCTGAAGGTGGCTGTTGAGCATCTGGGACAGTTTGTTCTCCTTTGTTTCAGTGCTAACTTGTGGGTGGATAGGCCTTTGTCAGCTCCACGCAGCTCCAGCTCCAGCCAGTTCCCCTGCTGTTCCAGTCCTCCTCACAGACGTGCTCCTGAAATCATTAAATAATTGGCATATATCATTTTTTTTAAGTATGTTGAAATGTAAATAAAGGATTTTGTTAAATATGTGCGTAGTGGATATCAGTAAACATGCTTGGGAGTGGATTCTTTGGGCATACTGCCTTCACTGTGGTGTGTGCATTACCTCTAGCTGATTTGGCAGAGAATGTTTCCTGTGTGTGGTGATGAGAGGCATTGCTGCAGGGCATTTGCCAAGAGGAAAGCAGAAATGAAAGGACCACACCTGAGCTGTGCTGCAGCAGCTCTGGCTGTGAAGCTGCCCTGGCAGAAAAGTTCTGGGGGATGTCCTGAACCTTTCTACATGCAACTTTATTGAAGTACAGTCAGGATAAAGACATTGATGGCCAGGATTTTCAGGGCTCTGGAGTGTGTTCTGCTGTTAGCCCTCACCTGGCACATCCTGGGCCAAAAGGCATTGAGCTCTTTTATGCCACAGGTGTGAGAGGAATTGACATAGGTGTTAGAAGGGTGTTAATGGAAGGCCTTTTTGGCTAGCAAGCAGAGAATGAACATGCCATAGAATTCAGGGCTCCTGAATGCTTGCAGAGAACAAAGGTGAGGCTGCAGGTTTGTGGAAAAACTGTCACTGTCAGACTGGGTTTGTAAGGTCACCTGCTAGGCAGCTCGAAGTCACCCTTTGTGGGCGCTGGGCTCCGAGGTGAGTTTTTTCTGCAGCAGATTAAATACCAGAGAGGCTGGACAAAGTCTGTTCTGTCACGTGCAGTTGCTTAGTCCCATCCTGATCTGCCCCGTCGCTCCTCGCACAGCAGAATGCTTTATGATCTTTGCCTGAGGTGCAGTGTGTGGGGCTGTCTCAGGGAGGTGTGGTCTGACACTGACGTGTCAGAGGACAGATCCTGTAGGCATGCTTTGGTGTCATCTCCTATGTAACAGCTGCTTAAAATCTTTAGAACAGACTATGGGATTGCACAGCTGCTGAGGGTGCTTGCAGTTTATTCTCTCCTGCTCAGAGTATCTCACTTGTACCTGCAGTATGCCAGGTGATGAAGGAAGCAAAGCATACCATCCCATTCCCATCCTGGCTTTGCACAGCCAAGATTTCTCCTAGGAGACAAGGGTTGAAAATTCCTCACGTGGAGGAGAAAACTGGACCTGGGTAACAGCTGTGAGATAGAGATGAGCAAAAAATGAGACGTTCAGCTGTTGCCCGTGCTCAGGGAATGCATCTAGATGCCCTTTTCCTGTGGGTTTACGCATGAGCTTGGCTCCAGGTGGCTCAGGGGAGCTCTGCCTCCAGCTGCAGTGCTGAGGTTCGCAGTTCTGGCTGCGGGTACCCAAATTCACTCTGCTTTCTCACCAGGGAAACCAGCCTATTTCTGGGCCCAGGCTCAGCAGCATTTTCTCAGGCTGATGTATTTATATCACTGTGATCAGCCAGTTGTACTTCCTGCATAGCAGGGGTCACACAGTTTCCCCAAATTAATATCTAACAGTGGTAAATCCATTACAACCTCCTGAAAGTTGTTCCAGTGGTTAATTATATCCTGTTACATTTATCTACCTTGGACACCGAATATATTGAGTTTCAGCTTCCCAGCCTGTGGATCTTGCTGTTCCTTACTTGCTGGCTAAAAGTTCTCTCAAACACCATTATTTTTGGGTTTAATTTCCTGCGATGAAGTCACCCTTCAGTCATGTGTGAAGCAAATTCTGGAATCTGCTGCAGAGCAGATGATCATTATCCTCTATGTGAGCTCCAGCACCTTCCTCCAACTGTGGACACTGCAACTGGAGGCAGTTTGACCGCCTGTTACTCATCTGGACATCATGTTCACCTCCAGCCCCTGCAGTGTGCCCTTCCTCAAAAGCTGTCCTGAGCTCATTAGCCATCAGAGGACACATCTTTGTAGGCTTCATCACTGAGATTTGAACATTCCTCCCCAGTTATCACTAAAACTGATAAGCAACTCTGACTCCTTTATTTTATATGACCCTCTAATCTATATTCCATTGTATTTGCTGACGTTTCATAGAATCACAGAATGCCTTGGGTTGGAAGGGACCTCAAGGATCATGAAGTGTCCAGAGGAGAGCCACAAAGATGATCAGGGGGCTGGAGCACCCCCCCTGTGAAGACAGGCTGGGGGAGCTGGGCTTGTTCAGCCTGGAGAAAAGGTGGCTGCAGGGTGAGCTCATTGCAGCCTTCCAGTACCTAAAGGCAGCCTACAAACAGGAGGGGAATCAACTATTTGAAAGGGTAGATAACAGCAGGACAAGGGGAAATGGTTTTAAGTTGAGGGAGGGGAGATTTAGGTTGGACATCGGGGAAATTCTTTACAGAGGGAGTGGTGAGGTGCTGGAACAGCTGCCCAGGGAGGCTGGGGATGCAGAGGGGGGTTGGAGATTCCTGATCCTTAAGGTCCCTTCCAACCCTGGCCATTCTGTGAATCTGTGAATCTCCAACCCCCTGCCACATGCAGGACCACCAACCTCCACATTTCATAGCAGCCCAGGCTGCCCAGGGCCCCATCCAGCCTGGCCTTGAACACCTCAGGGATGGACGGGGCATCCACAGCCTCTCTGGGCAGCTGTTCCAGCACCTCACCGCTCTCACGGCAAACAACTTCCCCCTGACATCCAACCTCAATCTTCCCTCCCTCAACTTCAACCCACTTCCCCTTGTCCTGCAGTTGTGTCCCCTTTCCAAGAGTCGACTCCCCTCCCGTCTGCGGGCTCCCTTTAGGTACTGAATGCTGCCATCCGGTCCCCGCAGCCTTTTCTCCGGGCTGCGCACGCCCAGCTCCCCAGCCTGTCAGTGCGCCCAGCCGCAGCTCAGCGCGGCCGGCTCGCCGTTCCCCGGCGGTGTCACACTGGCTGTGAATGTGCGGCCAACCACGACTGGAGGGCGGGAGGAGGAATGGGAGACAGAAGGGCTCCGTCACAACAAACCCGCGCGGTGTCCCCGCGGGCGGAGGCACGGAGGTGTCGCTGGGAAAAGGCTAATTAGCAACCAGGCTTTGAAGAGCCCTCAGAGCCGCGGCCCGGCTCTTAAATAGCTCAATTAGAGGCGTTTGCCTCGAGGAAATGTAATGAGAGCGGCTCCTCGGGAGCGGTGCCACCGCAGCTCGGCTGTCCCCTCGGTGGCTCCGCTCGGTTCGCCGCGGCTCAGCGCGGTGAGGGGCAGCGGCCGGGCGCGTGCCGAACGGCCCCCGCTCCAACGCCTGCCGCGCCGCGTGGCCGCGCACGCTGCCCCCGCCGGGCCCGCAGCGCCGGGAGCCTCGGCCCCCTCGGCGGCGGCGGCCAATCAGAGCTCGGGGGCGGGGCGCGGAGGTAGGCGGGAAGAAAAAGAAGCCCAGCAACCGCCGGTGGAGCGGCCAATAGGAGCGCGGAGCTGAGGAAAGGCAGGTGGCGCGGCCAATGGACGTTCGGTAAACGGCCGCCGCCGGGAGGGGAAGGGCCGATGGGATTGGCTCGCCGTCTGACGAGCGGGGCGAGCGGCCAATACCGTTGCGCGCGGGCGGGGCGCGCGGGGTGGCTAGCCGGTGCGGGCCGCCATTGTGGCCAGTTCGATCGGTATCGGGAGCGGAGAGCGGAGCTCAGCGAGCCCGGAGCAGGGAGCAGCCCCCCCACGGCCGGCCTCAGTCACCATCACACCGCGGGAGGCGGCGCAAACAGCCAGTCACCACCACCGTCCGCACCGAACAGCCGCCGCCATGAGCAGCGAGGCCGAGACCCAGCCGCCCGCCGCCCCCGTCCCCGCGGCGGCCCCCGCCGCCGCCCCCGCCGACTCCAAACCCAACGGCGGCAGCGGGAACGGGAGCGGCGGCCTGGCCTCGGCGGCGCCTCCCGCCGGCGGGGACAAGAAGGTCATCGGTGAGGGAGGGAGCGGGCCGCGGGGCGGGGGAGGGCCTCAACGGGCGGCGCGCGCGCCCCTTCCCCCCCTCCCCTCGCATCCCCGCCCCCGGGGCCGCGCGCGCCCTTCCTCGCAGCGCGGCGCGCGCCCCCCCTTCCCCCGCGGCGGCCGTTGGGCGCGCGCCCGCTCCCCCTTCCTCCCCCGCCCCCCTTCCCCTCCGCGCGCGCGCCGCTCGCCGCCGGGCCCCGCGTGTCGTTGGTGGGGGCGGGGCGGCGCGGCTCAAGATGTCCGCCACGCGGGGCCTTTGTGTGCGCCGCCCCGCCACGTGCCGCGCCTGACGCCGCGCCCCGCGTTCTCTTCTTCTCCTCCTTCACCTCCCCCCCCCCCCCCCCCCCCCCCCCCCCCTCCCAGCAACGAAGGTTTTGGGAACAGTGAAATGGTTCAACGTACGGAACGGTTACGGCTTCATCAACAGGTGAGCGGGGCGGCTGCGGGGGTGGGGGGTTCGGGGCCTCACCCCGCGGTGGCGTGGCCTGCGTTAAGGCTTTTCCTGCTGCTCGGGGCGTTGCTGTAGGCTGTCAGCGCGCTGCGGTGCTCGTTTGGGCCTCTGAGTGAAGTTGAGCGGGACAGGCTGCGCAGAGTTGGGCAGAGGGGACGTTGAGGTTCGATGAGAGTCGTGCAGTTGGGAAGGAACAGTTGTGGGCATTGGTGCAGGTGAGGGGCTGAGCTGCTGAGGGGAGCTGTGCAGTGAGGGACCTGGGTGTCCTGGTGGCCAGCAGTGTGCTCTGGTGGCCAGGAAGTCCAGTGAGACCCCACAGAGCGTGACCTGCAGAACCAGGAAGGTTCTCCTCCCCTCTTCTCTGCCCTGGAGAGGCCACATCCGGAGCACTGGGCCCAGGGCTGGGCTGCCCAGTTCAGGGCAGGCAGGGAGCTGCTGGGGAGAGCCCAGGAGGGCTACAGAGAGATCGGTATCTGTATGAGGAAAGGGGATCTGATCTGTTTCTAGGTATCTAAAGTGTGGGAGTCAAGTCAGTGGGGGCAGACTGTCTTTGGTGGTGTGCAGTGGCTGAACAAGAGGCGATGAACAGAAACTGGAACACAGGAAGTTCCGTCCTAGTACAAGGAAGAACTTAACTGTCAGAGTGGCGGAGCACTGGAGCAGGCAGCCCAGAGAGGTGGTGGTGTTTCCTTCTCTGCAGATGTTAAAGACCAACCTGGATACCCACCTGTG